AATCAACCAAAACTGGGCTCTGCGCCACTGCTTGGGCAGTTGGGCAAAGGAAAACTTGCACACGTCACTGAAGTGCAGAAAAATTTGCAAAAACTAGCTGCGCAGCTTGGGACAAGCTGGTGTCACACTCGACGGCCACAAAGCAAAATTCGAGGCCGAGCGCAGCCACTGCAACGGCGGCCCCGGAGAAGCCATCGCAAAGCGACACTAGCAAAATAGGCCCTCGGCGTGGTGGGACCCACGGCAACGACGGCAGACCACCACGGCCTACCCACTGAGCAAAAGGCGGCGTGCTACCATCCACAGCGGCGGCTGACACATGCGCTGCTCTGGAAGAAGGCTGGCAAGCGTCAAGCTTACCTGCCGGAGGCACAAGGCACACACGACGCACTTCATCAGTCCGGGTCCGAAAATCAAAATCGCGGCCCTCGTGAGGACCTAGTCACAACCGCAAGTGCGGGCAATCTTGGCGGACGTGAGAAGTTGATCCGCACGCGTTCCCATCAGGCTTGCGAACATCACAACAGTGTCTGCGCTTGTCCGGGCAGCTCTTCTCATTTTTCGCACAGCCACGCTGATCGTTGCGCTTTTTGCAAATCACTTGCCCAGATGGCAAGCATCGCACGGTTTTCTCCTGCTTGACGCGCTTGGACGGCGCCTCGCCCGTCTCGCTGGCAGGATGCGCTGCTACAACGGGCCCTGTAGGCGGCATTGCCCACGACACTTCAGTACGGGCAAGGGCTTGCTGCATCGCCTCTCCCTGGGAAAGACCTTGACGCATCAGATCAACCATGCAGGCACGGGTGTGCTCATCTTTGGCTTGCAACCATGCCAGCTGCTGGCCTGGCTGCTGGACGATCTCTGTCACCTGCCTGAGGCAGAAGTCAGCGTAATTGAGATTCACATCCAGGGGTGCAAAAACGACTTGCTGGGACTGATTTGCTGCCGACGGGACCTTGTGAGTGCCAGCCAGAGCATAAGCGTACCCCAGCACCCGCAAGCAGAAGTAGTACGCTACTACAGAACGCAACGCTGGCGGCTCAGCTTGCACTTGCACCAGGATATTGGACCCCAGGCTCACTGACTCCTTGGAAACACCTTTGGACGCCTGGTACAGCGACTGAACCTTGCGCGCCGGAATGACTGTGGGGGTCCCCCGCCCAAACTCGCGCCAGACTCGCCCAAGTAAGGTGTCAGAAGGCATGAGGTACATGGACAACTGCACAGAGTACATAGAAGAGAACGACTGCATCAATCCCTCCTGAGTTCTCGGGTCCAAAGGTTCCTCAGCATCGTCTGCCACGCCGTCAAGGCGTCTCTTGCGAGCCTGTTCTACTGTGGATTGGGCTTCTTTCCATGCTGTGCGTAGTCTTGACAACTGGACCAACTCATCTTGGCAAGGCGACTTGTCAAAGATCAGGGATTTCAACTCAGACTCGAACGCCTTGCTATCGACTATGCCCACAAAATCTGCCAAGCTCTCCAGGCCTATTTTTGTCAAGTGCTCAATCAAAGGGTCTGCAAGGCGGTGTTGCCGAAACAATTGCAGCAATGCCTCCTTATCTTTGGCAACAGGCTTAGTGCCAGGAGCTGGCATGGCTAGGGTTGGAACTGCATTCTACACATGGGCCGCGACTGCAGCGAGCAACGGAAAGTCAAACACAATGGTTGAAGCTCTGCAGGTCGTGTAAATGCACGTGTAAAGCATCATTCCCAACAACAGACTAGCAAGTTAAAAACCAGTGCACAAAAGCTGAAAGCTTGCCACAAAAAGGGTGGAGCCAACACTACATAAATTAAGGCCGAGGGCCGAAGAGCCACGCAACCACAAGGGCTGCGCGAAGCCCCTGAAGCCCTGAAACCCGACATGTCTCGCGTGACTGAGGGAATTTGAAAGTTGGCAAACACACAAATCTCCGTAAACCTTCGTCCCAGATCAGTAAAAGACTAGCCTGGCCAAGCAAAGAGTGGATGCATCCCTACGACAACAAAAACAAGCGTAGGTCAATGGCCGAAGGGCCGCGCACCGAAAAGGCTGCGCGAAGCCCTCAAAGCCCTAGAACTGGACATGTCATGGTGACTCGGGAAAAGCTGCCCGTCAAAACAAAGGGGGCGCAACCCTGCAACAGCAGAAACCCCAGCAAAAGCCGAAAGTTTGCAAGAGAAGGGGGGCCAGCGAAACCCCAGAAGCTCTGAAACTGGACATGTCTCACGTCACTTTGGATGAACTTGCCAATCAAATCTTTTTTTTTTTAAAAAAAAAGGAGTTGGCACAAACCCGCATCTGCAAGAGAGGGGGGCCAACAAACAAACAACAATTAGAGCCGAAGGGCCACGCACCCAAAAGGCTGCGCGAAGCCCCCGAAGCCCTGAAACTGGACATGCCTCACGCCACTCGGGGAAAAGCCTGCCGTGTGAAAGGAAAACAAATCAAATAAGAGTAGGCACAACCCCGCAACAAGAAGCCTTTGCCAAAGCTGAAGCTTGCAAAGAAACAGGGGGGCCAACAAGACATAAATGTAGGCCGAGGGCCGAAGGGCCACAAAACATGAGTGTAAGGCCCCCGAAGCCCTGAAACCCGCGTGTCTTGTGTTGTCAGGAAATTTAGTGGCAAACACACTGACCTATTACGCACAGCCGCAGAATTCTTTCACTGTCTATTTGCAGGAGTCGATTGCTCGTTTAATGTGCGGTGGAACGCAGGCTTGGCATTTGGCACAAATCTGCAAGCCTGGCTCTATTCCGATGCCCCACTCCAAGGGAATTCCCGCAAACGGAGTGCCACGGCACCAAGGAACAGGTTGGGATTGGGAGCGCTCACGTGCGATATGAGAAACCCCACGGGCAAAACGAAACCACTCTAAGTCATGCGGCAACCCTTCGTGACTTGAGCCACCGTCGGAAGAGGACGAAGTCTCGTCACTGCTTGCTTCGCTGTCACTTCCCTGGCAATTTACTGGTTTGTCTGCTGGAGGAGTCAAAGCAGAATGTCGATTTAAAATCTGCTGCCAGCTGAGCCCTTTTGTGCGGAAAGACTGCCAATCGAGCGGCCCGGATTCTGTCTCGAGCAACTCCTGAACTGCTGCGCACAACAAAGCTTTAGTGTGCCCAGCGGAGAGCACTCTGTCATGAGCATAGTGCTGGCTCATCTGCACTGGCATTGGCTGGGCATGCTTGGTCGTAACTGACTCCGTCCAGTTTCCCAAGTGTTGGGCAACTTCCACTAGCGTTCGCAAGACCTCTGCTACACTTGGCAAAAAACGTCGCAAAGAGTAAGTGCTGATAAGGCCTACTTCTGCATCAGGCAAACCTTCGCTACGTAACACTGAGTGCAACAGCTTCACAAAGCGCGCCATTGGCATCGGGGCTGCTCGCCAATGCGCACGCTCGTCCAGGCAACCGGAGGGCCCACAGGCAACATCTGGGATACAAAAGGACAAGTCAGGCACCTGGCTGCGCAAGTCAATGATGACCCTTGACGCTAAGCCCAAAACATGCTTCCACTTGCCAACATGCATCGGAGCAGCCCATTCGAACGACGGCCGCGTGCCATGTTTGCGCGACTTGCCCTTCAAGCAAACCGCGCGAGCAAAGTCGTGGGACAGCGTCCAATCAGCTGATCGCTGCGCGTGGGCGAACCTCAGGCAAGCCACTAATGGGATAAGGGCTAAAGATGCGAACGTAGCAACGTTCGTGGAACCACCAAGGGCCAGCTTGCAGAGCGCCTGAAAAGCACGAAAGCTCAAAGGCACACGAGGCTGGATAGAGTGTCCCTCGGCCACTCGGTTCCACGTTGCAACCATGGGGTCGCCCAGCGGGAATGGTATGCCGACATGCCGACGCCACCATAACAGCTTCTGGAAAAGTCCTTGCGCTGCAGTTGGCCCTCCGTCAGACGCTTGCTTAAGGAAGGAAAAAAAGCAGGGCAACCGGAGGCAACAGAACTTCTGCAGGCCCTTTGCCAAACTGCAACACATAATTGGCCCACCGCCTCAGGGCGCTGAGTTGCGCCTGCAGAGTGCGCCGCTCAAAGATCTGCAGCCGACTCGCCAGGCCTTCGCGAGCAATGGCCTGGTGCTCCTCAAGCAACGGTGACCACAACTCGCCATGCGTGCCAAGGGCGGCATAGATCTCCCAGCAAGCATGGACCATCTCAGAGTGCTGGTGAACTGGCCTCAGGGCAGTCAGAGCATTCTGCGACCACTGAAAGGCGCCCGGCGCAATGCTACCCACAAGCCTGCACCGTTTGACAGCAGGCACAGGGAGGCCTTCAACAGGGCGAGCGCACTGCGGGGCTCCACTGGCACGCCTGGCAAGGAATGCCAAAGCGCCACGGGCAAGCTCGATGTACCATCCAGCTTCCTCATCGTCAATAAAGCCAGACATGGCTGTCACCAGCTCATCCGGTCGCAGGCCAGCAATGTCTGCATCGCACATCAACCCAGAACGGCGCATGCGCTCGATCACTGCACAATGAACGCCAGATTGGAAGAACTGCGAAAAGTCAGGCTCTGCAGGCACTGTCAAGGGTATTGCCTCTGCAGGCACTGTCAAGGAGGGCACAAGCGCAGGGCCATGGCCGTGTCCATGAAAATGCCGTTTCATACCCAAGAAAATGTGCGCCCTGCAGCTAGCCTGACTTGAACCATCAATCAATCAATCAAGGCGCGTGCTCTCAATCCTCTTTCTGCCAAACCCATCCAGGCCAAGAAAGTTTGACATACATACATACATACATACATACATACATACATACATACATACATATGTACATGCATGCATACATACGAGAGAGGGAGAGTGGGGAGAGAGAGGCTTGGGGGGATGGGGAGGATGGGAGCAGAGGGAGGGAGAGAGGACGACAGAACACACAAGGGAGACAAGGAAGAGAGGAAGACAAAAAAAAGGGAGAGGACAATGTCGGCGGACTGAGCCGGAGGCTCTAAAGTATGGAAAAAGGCGCCTTATTTTGCCTCTCCCCACTCTGCCCCCGTTCTCTCCTCTGCCCGCTCTGCGCGCTGCTCCGCGGCATCGGCAGCGTCGGCCTCTCGGCGCCGGCGCGAGCGGTCCAGGCTGGCGCGGCGCTGCAGCTCCACCACACGCTGCTCCAGCTCCGCCTCGAGTTTCAGCAATGGGAAGGAAGAAGGTTGTCAAAATGAAAGGTTTGGGGGTTGCAACAAATGAAGGAAGGTTGCAAGAGGTTGCAAGAGGTTGCGAGAGGTTGCGAGAGGTTGAGGCTCAACTTGACAAGAGGTTGCCAGCTTCGGCCTTCTGCTTCTCCACTTCGGCCTTGGCTCGGCTGAGCTTGGCTCCTCGCAGGATCGCCTCTTTCAGCAACTTCCGCTCGCGGTCCTGGTCCGTGCGCTTCGGCGTCTCGAGCTCCAACTCCTCGACCGCCTCGGCCGCCTCAACTGGCTGGGCGCGAGCCAACTCCGACTCCGTCGACGCAAGGCTCTCCTCCGCAGCAAGCGCTCGCTGCTCCGAGGCCGAGAGATCTTGCGCCATGGACTTCAAGGCGTGCATCATCTGCATCATCTGCGTCTGCACGCTCTGCACGCTCTGCGTTGCCATCTGCGGACTCCCGTAGCGCTCCAAGATTTGCTGCACCACGGGGTCTATCGTGTCAATCGGGTTGATCGGGTCAACAGTTGAATCCCGCTTCTTTCTTGGCACCTCCTTGCGCAGCCCCCCGCCTTGCTTGGAAAGCAGACCGATGTCATGCTTTTGACGCTCATCCAGCTCTTGAGCACCCCAAATGTCATTCGCCTTTGCCGTCTCCTTCTTCTTCTCTTTTTTCGGTTTTTTCTCGTTCTTCTCGTTACAGTGCCTGTTCTCAATCTTCTGCTTCGGCACTGTCCGTGCCCCTCCGCCCGGCTCGCAGGTGTCAATCATACGCCACGGCCATGGCGCAAATTCGGAAACGGCTGAGAAAGCGAAAGCACCGATTCGAGAGTCGCCTCGAACACCTTGCGCCGAGTCTTGAGCGGAAACCTTCATGAGCCCACGCAGGCACGGCGCACGGCGCACTCAACCCTGTCTTTTTGGAACTTTCGGCTTTCGCAAGAGCTGAGCGCCAGGTTGCCGCTTGCACTGAAGGAGCTCATCCCTCAGACTGGCTCCGGCCTTCAAACGACACATCACAGCTCATGGTGTTCCGCCCATTCGATCAGATGATACCTGCCAGGTCAAACGTCACAAGTCTTGATGCATGAACTCAGCACATTGCGCACTGGGCGTCGCTGGTTGCAAGCTCCTCAAGCCGCTTAGTTGCCCTCAAATACTCTGTTTAAAGGATTTGGCGCCTCTCTCGCGTTCTCCAACTCTTCTGCAGTCGCCTGCATGTCACCATCCTGAGAAATTCAATGCGTGCAAGCTGCGACTAGCCAACCTCGCATGCGACCGCGACCCTCCTTGTCTGCTAGCTGGATTAGTCGGATCATTGCGGCTTCCGTATGGAACCTCTCACGAAGCTCAGTCGCACAAACTATCTGCACATCCTACAACAAACATCTGCCGGCGGCACAAACCGGACTCCCATTTTCTGAGCTCATCCAAGTCTAGGACCTTGGCACTTGTCTTTCACAAGCAGAAGTGGGCGGAGAAATCAAGGCTTCCAAAAAATGCCACAATTGCGCGACTAAGAGTTCTACCGCCCGTGCTCTGTTTGCTTTCAGCATGCGTCTGAGTTTCGGTCACCATTGCCATCCTTGTCCAGCTTCTCGAAATCCTGCACCTCTTCCTGGCAAGCAGAAAGCGGAAAGTTCAGAAACCTGCTGGTACCCATAGTGGTGATAGCACTTCCTGACGCTGCCATGCAACCCGCGATATTGACTCATTGACAGTCAGTCCTCGGAGAGCTGCTCCTCACCGTCCTCTTCTCCAAACTCCCAAAATCTGAGCGCAGCGTGGCATCGCAAAGATGGGCACAAAAAGACATGGCTTTGGTGAAAGCGCTGTGCGCAATGTTCATATGGCACCTGGTACCATGTCCCGTGGCATGGTACCACGCAACCCGCACCCCAGCATTCTCATCCGAGCAATCCAACCCTCAACCAACCCAAGCCAATCCTACATCAACCATAAATCACCCCTAGACCTGTCCCAAACCCACTACGGCCATTTCTGAGATCTTGACTCTTTTGCAGTCAGGACACCATTCCCGTCTTTGTCCTATCGGGAGATCTCACCAAACGAACCAACATGCCCCGCTTCACTGTGACAGCCTTCATCCTCATGGTGTCCCGGACAACGACATCCAGAACTGCTGGATTCCTCAGCTCGAGTGACTGTTTGGGATGCTGCGAAAGCTGTCTGTCTGTCAAGGCTTCGGTACCCACCCGGGCTGCACGGCTGTGCTTCTGGCGTTTCCGGATAGAACAAAGAAGCTACTTCTTGCGGGCTCAGAGCCTGCCAGGCTTCGCAGTCGCTGTGCAGAAAGCGCTTGAACCAATCCAAAGCTGTTGGGAACGCCTGGTCGTTGTCGATATCCGCTGCTCGGAACCTGGCTACGAGCTGCCCGCGAAGCAAGTGGGATAGTGCCTTCAAAGGATGAGGTGTTGCGTTGCACGTATGAAACCAGCAAGGCAGGCTTCTCAGTCTCCACGTTCTTTCTTTTCTCCATCTCTTTTATTTCCTCCTCATCCCCTCCGTCAGCCTCACAAGGCAAGCACGATGACTTTAAAAAAACAAAATAATTTCACCTGCTGGTGTATGTCGTTGAGGTGCTCGCTCAAAGACAGCTTGCCATCCTGAACTCAAAGAAATGTCCATTTCTAAGGGTTCTTTCCGGCGTCACAGTGTCAAGATTGCCTTGTCGGTGTCGATTTCTTCTAAGATTGCGGAGACATCTTTGCCCGCGATCGCCTTGCTCATCTGGCCAGCAAATTCGAGGACCTAGGGCACATCACGCCTTGCAATTGCACAAACCTCGAGAGACTCGGCCTCAGAGAGCGAGACTTTGCCATCACCGTTCTGGTCGAACTTGGCGTGAAGGGCTCGAAGCTGCCTCCGGATGCGAAACACGTTGCTAAGTTTACTTCAGCTTCTGGGATCCGCTGACTTCGTTTCTCTTGATCCGCTTTCTGCTAACATGCCAGCCGGGCTCTTTGGTCATTGCCTCCTCCTCAATGTCTTGATCATCTGGCAAGTCCTGCATTCAGCGTCGACTCGGCGCCGTCTCCCTCGCAACACACGCCTCATCTTCCTGGCCCAGAACGTCCCGAGCTAAAATGGCAAGCCCTGGGGGGCGCACATCCAGCATGTCAAGCAAATCCAGCATTTGACGCAGTCTACGCATTTCAAGCATGCCAACCACCATGGTAAGTGCTCAGCATATGTGAGGCATGTGCCAAGCTTTGCAAGTATGCCAAGCATATGTGACGCATGTGCCAAGCATCGCGAGAATGCCAAGCATATGTGAGGCATTTTGCAAAACATTGCAAGCATGCCAAGCATACGTGAGGCATGTGCCAAGCATTGCAAGGATGCCAAGCATATGTGACGCATGTGCCAAGCATCGCAAGAATGCCAAGCATATGTGAGGCATTTTGCAAAACATTGCAAGCATGCCAAGCATACGTGAGGCATGTGCCAAGCATTGCAAGGATGCCAGGCATATGTGAGGCGTGTGTCAAGCATTTGAAGCATGCCAAGAAGGTGAGGCATGTGCCCAGCATTGCAAGTACGTCAAGCAGGTGAGGCATGTGCCAAGCATTGCAAGTATGCTCAGCATGTGTGACGCATGTGCCAAGCCTTGCAAGTATGCTCAGCATATGTGAGGCATGTGCCAAGCTTTGCAAGTATGCCAAGCATATGTGACGCATGTGCCAAGCATCGCGAGAATGCCAAGCATATGTGAGGCATTTTGCAAAACATTGCAAGCATGCCAAGCATACGTGAGGCATGTGCCAAGCATTGCAAGGATGCCAAGCATATGTGAGGCGTGTGTCAAGCATTTAAAGTATGCCAAGCATATGTGAGGCATGTGCCACACATTGCAAGTATGCCAAGCAGTTGGTGTGCCAAGCATTACAAGAATGCCAAGCATTCGTGAGGCATGTGCCAAGCATTGCAAGTATGCCAAGCATACGTGAGGCATGCGCCAAGCATTGCAAGTATGCTCAGCACATGCGAGGCATGGGCCAAGCATTGCAAGTACGTCAAGCACGTGAGGCATGTGCCAAGCATTGCAAGTATGCTCATCATGTGTGACGCATGTGCCAAGCCTTGCAAGTATGCTCAGCATGTGTGAGGCATGTGCTAAGCGTTGCAAGTGTGCCAAGCACATGCGAGGCATGCGCCAAGCATTGCAAGTGTGCCAAGCATATGTGAGGCAGGTGCCAAGCATTGCAAGTGTGCAACATATGTGAGGCATCTGCAAGTATGCTCAACATATGTGAGGCATCTGCCAGGCATTGCAAGCGTGTCAAGCAGGTGAGGCATGTGCCAAGCATTGCAAGGATGCCAAACAATGTGAAGCGTGTGTCAAGCATTGCAAGTATGCCAAGCATATGTGAGGCATGTACCAAACATTGCAAGTATGCCAAGCATATGTGAAGCATGTGCCAAGCATTGCAAGGATGCCAAACATATGTGATGCGTGTGCAAGTATGCCAAGCATATGTGAGGCATGTGCAAAACATTGCAAGTATGCCAAGCATATGTGAGGCATGTGCCAAGCATTGCAAGAATGCCAGCTTTTGTGAGGCATCTTGCCAAGCATTGCAAGTATGCGAAGCATACGTGAGGCATGTGCCAAGCACGTCAAGGATGCCAAGCATGTGTGAGGCATGTGCCAAGCATTGCAAGTGTGCCAAGCATATGTGAGGCATGTGTCAAGCATTGCAAGCATGCCAAGCATATGCGAGGCATCTGCCAAGCATTGCAAGTATGCCAGGCATATGTAAGGCATGCGCCAAGAATTGCAAGTATGCCAAGCATATGTGAGGCCAAGCATGTCAAGTATGCCCAGCATATGTGAGGCATGTGCCAAGCATTGCAAGTATGCCAAGCATATGTGCGGCATGTGCCAAGCATTGCAAGTATGCCAAGCGTGTGAGGGATGTGCCAAGCATTGCAATGATGCCAAGCATATTTGAGGCATGTGCCAAGCATTGCAAGAATGCCAAGCATGTGTGAGGCATGTGCGAAGCATTGCAAGAATGCCAAGCACACGTGAGGCATGTGCCAAGCATCGCGAGTATGCCAAGCGTATGTGAGGCATGTGCCAAGCATTGCAAGTATGCCAAGCGTATGTGTGGCATGTGCCAAGCATTGCAAGTGTGCCAAGCGTGTGAGACACGTGCCAAGCATTGGAAGGATGCGGAGCGTGTGAGGCGTGTGCCAAGCATTGCAAGGATGCCAAGCATATGTGAGGCGTGTGTCAAGCATTTAAATATGCCAAGCATATGTGAGGCATGTGCCACACATTGCAAGTATGCCAAGCAGTTGTGAAGCATGTGCCAAGCATTGCAAGGATGCCAAGCGTGTGAGGCATTTGCCAAGCATTGCAAGTATGCCAAGGTTGTGAGGCATGCGCCAAGCATTGTGACTATGCTCAGTATGTGAGGCGTGTGCCAAGCATTGCAAGTATGCTAAGCATATGAGACACATGTGCCAAGCGAATGTGAGGCATGTCCAAGCGTGTGAGGCATGTGCCAAGCATTCCAAGGACGCGCATGTGCCAAGCATTGCAAGGATGCCAAGTATTTTAAAGCTTGCCAAGCATTGCAAGTATGCTCAGCATATGTGAGGCAGGTGCCAAGCATTGCAAGGATGCCGAGAGTGTGAGGCATGTGCCAAGCACTGCGAGTATGCTCAGCATATGTGGTGTGTGCCAAGCATTGCAAGGATGCCAAGCGTGTGAGGCATGTGCAGCGTGTGAGGCATGTGCCAAGCATTGCAAGG